CTGTTGAAAATTTCACACCAAACATTTTCGATCAATTTAAAGCCTGTATTTCGTATCGTTACCCATAACAAATAAACATATTTCTTGAAAATGTTTTCCTCCTCCTTGGGGAACGGAGCATGAAATTACACTGGAAATTTTTTGATGTTTATAGGTTGAATGACATTTACATTCAACTTCAGATTATTTCGAGTTCATTCTATAAGTCAATGAATAAAAATCATTTATCAACAGTTTACCATATAATATTATGTAGGTATACTTGCAAATTCGAAATTTACAAAACCATCAAAAATCGTCATTAGCCAAGTAATTTTTCAATAATATTTAAGTGTGAAATTTTCTTACCGAATACCACTTTAGCTTCAATTGATATCCGGGAATTTTTTCTCGAGCACGAATATTTAGAAAATTCGTGTTCTCGAAAAAATTCCCGGAAATAATTGAATTTGCTCTCGTGATATTATAAGTGAAAATTTCATAATTCGTACAAGCATGAACACGGTCCGTTGTTCGGTTCATTTTCTGCAGGGGATATAGGCTCGTGTTTTCAGAGGAGAGCGCCACGTGTGTTATCAGTGTCAGAGTTAGCTTCGTACGGCCATGTACAGCTGTGTCACGGACACCAGGGGACATTTTCAGCTTTTACACCATGCCTTCATAACACATAACACGGGATTTCTGTACCTATACTGAATGCCGCATTCGCTGTAACTCGACTGGAGAGCCGGGTTGATGATGTTTCGAATAAAAAGATAGACCAGGAGTAGGCCGTCCAAAGTTCTGCCAGAGTAGAACAGGTTCAGCTATCGTTGACAGAGAAAAAAATGTCCTTGTCTTCAGTGTTCCAACATAGAACAATGGAAATTTTATGTTGGTTACATATAGGAGATGGGCAAAAATGGAGAAGGAGATCATATAAACCTCAATATAAAAAAAGGTTAGAATGGTCTTCTTCCCCATTTCTTCTCATTTACAGAGTTGCCAACATAAAATGATCATTATTTTATGTTGGAACACTGATGACAAGGACATATGGGGAAGACATTTGTTTCTCTCTCAACGCTAGCTGAATTCCACAAAATTTTACTCATGTTCCTAATTCTAAAAGATACTTTGAATTCGTCAGGGGTTATAAGAAAAAACATGTATAGAGGACAGTGGCTAAAACTAAGGAAGATATGAATTGAATTGTTTTATTCCAATTTCATTTATTGATTCACATAATGGGAATATTGCTTCGTAATTTGCCAACTGATGGCCCCGAATGTACCTATTTTAAAAACAATGTTTTTACTGCAGCAACATGGTTTGAATGGTATAGGTATTTGCCTAGGAACTGGAGGATTTCTGGAAGGTCAAATCATGAATACATGCATCTAGATAGGTCCCGTCTAAAACTATACAGGGTGAGGGTGTTATTTAAGTATGTGGCCAAACTTCGAGAGGTGATTTTTTGGGTGATTCTAAGTCGAAAACTGCATGTAAACATATAGGTCTGGAAAAAACACCGTATTCAAGAGCTCTTTCAAAAATGCAGTATTCTGTCAATATAACAAAAATCTTCATTGCAGTTGTCGTAGTGAGGGACTAATTCAGTCATGATCAGATTTACGAAACACCTACTTTCGAGACAGTTCGACACAGGTTTGTATCTTGAAAACTATGCATATCCGGAGCTAAGTTTTCATCTTAGAAACACTGGAAAAATCGTCCCTTAAAGTTTGGCGACAAACCTAAATATAGACCTGTATAAATAGGTAACATTTTCCATAGGTAACCCTTCAAGCCACACCGAATTACCTATAGATTATTGTGTATACCTTCATTGATGGAAGAATAGCCTCCAATCCTTTAGGTTCGTGAAGTATATAGTGTGTTTCAGTGTTTCAATTCAAGTGACGACAATTCATTTTAATTATTTTTTAACGGGTCTGCCGATTTTTGAAATGCTTGCCCTAAAATATAGCACATTTTGATATGCTTCATTTTTAGATACGAAAACACAGAACACCCCAAAACTGACGAAAACATATTAGGATTTTTAATGAAAAAACAAATGCCTCTATCAATTAAGAATAGAAGTACCTATAAATGAATTAAAGGTTGCAGACTTCCCTGCGATGTTCCAATAATGTCAAGGAATTCGTGATTGTGTCATCACCAACCACGTGAATGGCTCGTCGCGGCGTATTTTTGTGTGCTGAACCCCATCAATTTGGGCACAGAATTCAAAAACGGTCCGGATCTGTGTTTTGTCTGTACTAATGTTATTATAAGGGAAGATTTCTTTGTATGTTTGTATGTTTGTATGTTTGTATGTTTGTATGTTTGTATGTTTGTATGTTTGTATGTTTGTATGTTTGTATGTTTGTATGTTTGTATGTTTGTATGTTTGTATGTTTGTATGTTTGTATGTTTGTATGTTTGTATGTTTGTATGTTTGTATGTTTGTATGTTTGTATGTTTGTATGTTTGTATGTTTGTATGTTTGTATGTTTGTGTGTTTGTATGTTTGTATGTTTGTATGTTTGTATGTTTGTATGTTTGTATGTTTGTATGTTTGTATGTTTGTATGTTTGTATGTTTGTATGTTTGTATGTTTGTATGTTTGTATGTTTGTATGTTTGTATGTTTGTATGTTTGTATGTTTGTATGTTTGTATGTTTGTATGTTTGTATGTTTGTATGTTTGTATGTTTGTATGTTTGTATGTTTGTATGTTTGTATGTTTGTATGTTTGTATGTTTGTATGTTTGTATGTTTGTATGTTTGTATGTTTGTATGTTTGTATGTTTGTATGTTTGTATGTTTGTATGTTTGTATGTTTGTATGTTTGTATGTTTGTATGTTTGTATGTTTGTATGTTTGTATGTTTGTATGTTTGTATGTTTGTATGTTTGTATGTTTGTATGTTTGTATGTTTGTATGTTTGTATGTTTGTATGTTCGTATGTTTGTATTGAATAGGCTCTTCTTCATTCACCATTAGTAGTCCACATTATCCCTGATGAACATAGGCTACTTTATACCGCAGGAAAAAAAACACACTTCACGCCGGTAAAAAAGAGTACATGATGGTAGGTTCTATAGCCATATTGGTGGACGATGCTATAGCTAGTGGTGGAAAAAATATGATTTCATCGGTTGACCGTACTATGAACAGTTGATTACTTAGTCTGGAAGTACCGAACATCCAGGGAGGTCAGAAACAATGACCTATAATATGTCTCGGTATAATAGGGTACTCATGAGTATGTCTTTCAGCTGGTTTTCGGATAATTTATTATTACTATTGCACCTTGCACACAAGGTGTTACGTTACCCAAGCTGACATGCACACTCGTAAAAGTCCTATTCGTGGACGAACAGTTGATTTGATTTTCATAATGAACCAATACCCTAATTTCGTGAAAATTGAAGGCAGAAAGCGATGCCTATAAAACAAGCCATAAAATAAATGGACTTCGACTCTTCATCCTAAAATCAGTCAATTATTTCAAAATCAGTTTGCAAATTCAGTAAAAACCTTGATCTTTGATTGAGGAAACTTCAATGTTCTACAATAGCAGTTAGTCACTAGTGTAAAATGATAGAGGGCGACCACTACATGTATTATCATCTTATATGTAGAAGTCCATAATTTTTTACAATCATGAAAGATATAATATATGGAATAGAGAATAATTTACTCACGTGGGAATGAAAAAAACTTTATGAAAAAATTATTGAATACATTTTTTTGTGCAAAGCACCGGTTAACGGGTCTCTGTTTAAATTCGGTGGTCACCCATTATTGGAAAATACCGAAAAACGGTCAAATAATACTAAAAAACAGATAACCTGGTGTACATCATCAGATGATAGAGGCGCTCTTAGGAATCCAGAAAACACAAGTTCTATGAAGACAGTCACCCGAGCAGTCACCGGTGCTTTGTAATTGTCCAAGTTTATCAATCTTCGATTATTCAGTGTATTTTTGACATTTTGAAAACGTTTTTAGTTGTTTTTATTAACAAATATTCATTACATTTGTTATTAAATTTAATTAGATTAAAAAAAAATTGGATATCTCATTGAGAAATCCAGTGTTCTGCGACTGCCTTGTAAATGTATTTTATATTATTCAGTAGGTCACATCAAATCAGTGGATGTACCAGATAATTTTGGGCCGATTTTGGGTTTTCCAAAAATTTTGAAATTAATTACTCTGCGTGAAAAAAGAGAATTCTTATTTCTGATAGCGACGGTACTGTTGCTACACAACATTATCTTCGACGACGACTATAGTACTATTTAATATCAATAAAATTTTTTCGTTACATCGATATCTGGCGAACATAGCTTCATGCTCATTTTTCATTGATTCGATGTAGAGAATCATCAAATTATGTCTATCGTTCGTAATAACAATAACCGCCGATCATAGATCCATGCTAACATGATTATTGATTCAATGTTCAGCTGTAATAAACTGACTCTGTCCTTCGTAACTGGCACTTACATATTCATGCTTACTGTTGATTGATACAATGTACATCAACCATAAACCAATGTTTATCATCATAGATCCATGCTCGCTGTTTATTGATTCAATGTACAACAACCATAAACTAATGGAAATCCATTCGTAATATGAATAACCGGCAAACATAGATCAATGACCATTATTCGTTTATTCAACGTACAGCAGTCATAACTTAATCAAGAAGAAAATGTATGTACGACCGTTCATTGTATTAAGGACACCCGTCATCGGCCCAAAATTAATGTTCACGTTCACTGATTTGATGTACTTTTTAATACTCAATGATATTATAACGTAGCTTTTTCGTTCTGTGAAGTATAGCAATTCTGAGGAAAATTCAGTTTAAAGAATTTGTAGTAATTGATAGCAGGCCGAACAACCTCAGCTACTGTTCGGCTAATTTTCTTCATTAACCTGATCATTGAGTTAATGATGTCATCAAAGATGTTGAGTTCGTATGATAAGTATACTGACCTTGAAAAACGTAAGTAATTCCATTGTCTGTCCTAGGAGCACCTGAAAAACATAATTACAATTTAAGCCTCGATTAAAACCGTTGCCGAAATTCGAGATGATTCGGACTTTTTCTGAATATTTCCGATTTTACCATGTGTTTTGACGCGGATATATTTTTTCTCGCGTAAAAGTGTATAGAGGGTGTTAACAAAAAATGAGTAGGTAAAACCACAGATTAAAACACTGCAATATACAAGATGTTGAAAAAAGATTTTGTTACACATTTTGTACGGCGATGTCGAAACTACTGACAATATTGAAATTCTGTAAGGATATGTTCTAGAAGCTGACACATCGCATGAATATGTTTTTATTACTGACTCTCATAGAGGGCGCTAATTATTACAAGGTTCGTATAGTAATTTTGAACAATAACTTTTTTGATGTTAGGTTTTATGTGAACTTTAACATCATTCAATTTAACACTGACCATTCCACTCTTGATTTAGAGAACCAATCAGAATCGACCATTTTCACGGTTTCTCCTGTATTCCAGCGATATTTATTGTTTACAAAAATTTATTAGACTTGCTCTACCAATACACTATACAGAAGCCGAATTGACCCACACGTGACCAACTATCCTTGTTTTTCAACGATAAATCAACATCTACACGGTACACGCTATTTGACGACGACGTGGGTCATTTTGACATCGATAAAATAGGATGCACCTTTTTTATCGCTAATAAACTGCCTGCTCCTTTGATCTAGTAGCTATTTGCGCCTGATGTCACTCCAATTTCTGTCGTGTCAAGTTTGATTGATGGGTATGGTTAACGAGTAAATTAGCAAGATGAGCCGTTTAAGGAAAATTTCGTCTGATAAGAAACCACGAAAATATGAGAAACTCAATTCCGCAAACTATCAGTTACACGGAATCATCAATGAAGGTAATCATTATTGTTGTTTATTTGTATATTGTCGTTAATTTATCTTTCCAAAAAACACTCGAACTTTTTTTTAATTGTATAAATTTCCTTACTAACTCAAACATTTTCCATCAGTTACTTCTCTCGAAAAACTGACATTAGACAAAATTGCTCCACCTACGGTCTCGCAATTTCTTTATGTCGGTTTTTCTTGAAAAATTACTGATCGGCAAATGTTTTTCGTTACCAAGGGAAATTTATCCGATGAAAAAAGAACTCTTGTGTTTTCACTGTTGATAGAATTGTTGACAATTATAATGGAAGCCAGAATGATGGATGCAGTGTGCGCAACTCTCGCGAGGCGCTCGTTTATTGTCTCAATCATGAAATATTCATACTCGTGATGCTATTTTTCCTGGCGATGTCCCGATGCCACAGTAATCGAACCATCCATGAATCGAACAGTAATGCATGTAAACACAATTGAAACCAAATAATAAACGAGCAAATAATAGTCACCTCTTGATATTTTATTGGTTAATCTATGGTTTCGGTTCCGTTTGATTTCAATTTCATTATGTAGCTTATAATTCGAGACTATTTCAGTTGGTATCGAGGTTTGTATAAATCATGCATTATTTGAATGATCGTTTGAATGTGTGTCGATCAATACGACGACGAAAATTACCATTCACAGCTCCTTCATAGTCATTCAACTTATACAGAGATGATTGAAAAAATGAAACAATAATAAAGTTTCAACACCCTAGTAGTATATGTACTTTGTTGGTATGAATGTACATACCAACTGGCCATCGAACTTACGAGAGGTCCTTCAGCCCATGTGTGTCTGTGTAGGCTTTGTTACTCACTCCATACGCCACCTTAGGAGCAGCACTGTTAATTGGAACGCAACACCCTATATCTAGGAACGAAGGAAAAACCTCAGAAACGCAAAAAGAACTAGCTTTTTGTTTGTTTACCACTCTCGTCGAAGTCTAGAAAAAAGTTGTATCCGGTGACTAAGACCATCTCAGACTTTCATATTACCTTTTTTTAATACAGTGTGGAGACTATAACGGGAATAAATTCGTTAGCGGGAACGTGAATATTTTTTCTGAAAATTTCCGACATACGCCATCGTATTTACCTACCTTTTGCAAGCAATATATCCCTGCTGGGGTAGCAGAAACCACGTTCAACATGATTTTCTCAAATTTAACCCTATGGCTTGTGACCCCCCATTGGAAAGCTGGTGGAAAGAGGAATCCAGCGTCCTAGTCAAATGTTAAATTTTTCATACGTTTAAAGATTGCATAAAATTGAAATGCAATTTCAAAATTCATTATCTTTTTCAACTTATCAATCGCTCAAAAGGTGTGTTGAACAATTGATGGCAATTTTCTGCCACTACTGCTATTGTATATTGTATTCCTATGTTTTTATAGAGCCGCAAAAGGAAAAAAGTTTTTTTTGCCGTATTCACAGTTTGAAACGAAGTGTTATTGCAAACTGGTGGAAATGCCCTATATCACTACCACTAAAAGTCGAAATTTTGATGAAAATACGTTGAAAATATATTGAACTTCGAAATAATATTTTGATTTTTTGCTAACCCCCAAACGTACACGTACAGTCGTCTTCCTCCTCGTCTTCCTCCTTGCTTGCCTCCCCAGCTATGTTCTCTGCTAGCTAGTTTTCTCTCGAACAGGTCTCTCCATGTAGTGGTCGACGAAGTTTCATCTGACTCTCTCATCATAAATGCTAGTGTTCCACAAGGATCAATTCTAGCACCAACACTATTTCTACTCCATATCAACGATTTGTTGGAAGCAACTCCATGTACCGTACACAGCTTCGCGGATGACAGTACCCTCCATACTGCCTTCTCTTCCAGGGCTCCAATACCAGCAAGGCAAATCAGAAACGAACGGGAAAGAAATGTTAACAACATAAATATGGCCTTGGCAGCAATTCTCGAATGAGGATCCAATAACTTGGTAGATTTCAATGCAAACAAAACACAGGCATGCCTTTTCTCTAGAAAAGCCGATCTCACTGTGCCCAACATAAGCTTGTCAGGAGTAACCATACCTTTGAAGACATCCATTTCGATGCTTGGTATTATACCATAAGCAATAACCTTTTTTGGGAAAATCACGTGAGATAGAATTAAGTGCATCCCAAAAACTTGGGTTTCTGTTTCGGGCCAGGAGCTATTTCACTTCCAGTCAGCAGCTTATGATCTATAAGGAACAGATCCGACCTGGCCTGGAATACTGTTTCCATATTTGGCGTGCAGCACCTAAACATACCCTGAAACTGTTGGATTCTGTCCAAAAAAGGGCAATTCGTCTCGTGGGTGATGCCTCGCTCACAAACTCACTCACTTCTCTGGAACACCGAAGAAAAGTTTGCGATCTGGCTCTATTTTATAGATATTTTCAAGGACCATGCTCTTCTGAAATATCAGCAATTGTTCCTCCCTTGGCAGTCCCCGCGAGATCAACCCGACGAGTTCAGGCTTCGCACCCCATCGTGGTCACTTTGAAGACCTGCAGAACATCTCTTTCCGAAGACTCGTTCATCCAACGAACAGCAAGGCTCTGGAACACATTGCCAAGGGAGGTGTTCCCCGAGGCATATAACCTCCAGAAATTTTAGAACACCAATTCCTACCTTAATTCCCTTGGTTCTCACGATGTTTTCTGAACATTACAGGATATTCCTTTTCGTGGGAACCACAACATAAAAAATAAAGAAAACAAGTCGAGGTTGGACGGTGGAAGCGCTCTTACTGCGGCAGTGATTTAGAGAGTACACACCGTCTATTTGCGACATGTTCACTGAAGACGAGTGTACATGCAAACTGAAATATGATCACTACCCCAGATTCCCCTTTCAACCAGCTTTCCAATGAGGGGTCGCAAGCCCTAGGGTTGCATATGAAAAAAACATGTTGAGGTTGATTCCAGCTACCCCTGATTTTCAGAAAAGTCATTCACTCCCCCAGTAGCGAATTTATTTCAGTCAAAGTCTCCACCCTGTATACATTGACTCTATACAAGAGGGATCTACCAAGGTTGGTAGAATCGATGATTATTTGTAGAAATAATCATCGATTCTACCAACCTTGTGATATACTTGTGTTATCGCCATCTACTGATCTACGATCGAAGGGGAATTCAACAGACTCGTGTCGTTCATAGAAGGACGCTGTCACCTATAGCCAATAAAGCGTGGGACCTAGGTAAGCTTTAATACGACGATTCTGTTACGTTTTCCCTCGATGTTAGGTCACTAGATGGCGATAACATAGCTATACAGGGTTCAACCGCAATCATCTACGCATTAAGATGAAAAACCAATAATAATTATCTGGTAACTTGGGGTGGCTTTGAAATGCTTATTGACACACTTATATACAGGGTGTCTGAAGCTTTCAGCGTACATACATTATACAATATCTTGTCGTTTTGACAAGATAATCAAAAGATGAAAGAACTACTTTGAATGGCATTAAAGAACTTTCCTAATGACTTATAAAAAATGGCACCCCATGAATATATTTGGAATTCAACGATAACAATCTATTTGGAATACAGCTATATAGCACATACTTGGTATTCATTTATTAATAACAAAAAGATTAACATTTCATGGAGTATGAATTTCAGTTGATATACGTAAGATACAATTCAAAAAACGAACAAAAAATTCGAAAAAATTACGAAATTATTTCCTGCAGAACCAACGCAAGCTGCAGAACATGGAAGCGTTATTATGCAGGAGTGCAGGCCGCCTGAATCATAGCTGTTTATTCCTCAAGATAACCCAACAAAAAATAAGAATAAACTTGTTCAAAAATTTATCGTTAAACGACGACATAACTGATTAGTCATTGGGGTGAATCGGGTGAATCAAGCAATATATCAGTCACATACCAGATTTCGTCGCGTTAGGTCGATTCAAGTGGTTTAAAAAATAACTAGTATTCAAAATAAGTGAGAAATCAAAATTTATCTTTCAGTTTAGTGATTATAATGCAATTGTGTGTATGTGTGAGGTTAGGATGTGTGTTGTGTGAGAGGTTATGATTGTGTGTGTTCTGTTACGCAACATTGGAGT